AAAGCGGCTCTGGGTGGCTGGACCCTCACTCCCCTTCTGTCCCCTGCCTGGGCCTGCCCCTCACTCCCCACCTGTGCTTTGAAATAAGGTTCTCACGGCTCTGCTGGTGGCTGGAAATACAGCCCCCCCGAGAGGGACTCATGCAAATCAGTGCTTGTGGGGACAGCTGAACACTTCTGTGGTGAGGTGCCCGTGCTAGGAAGGACTGAGGGGGCTGGAAAGGCTTCCGTAAGGAAGAGGGGAGTGGGGCAGCTTGTGCAAAGGTCCTGAGATGAGTAGCATGTGCCAGGAGAGATGGAAGAAAGCAGGGTGGCTGAGCACAGCCTGGCATGAGGCTGGAGGAGCAGCCTGGGGGCCACTGGACCCTGCTTCTGAGCCACATGCCTACCTGTCCTCAGCGAGCGGCCCCTTGGAGACTTGGGTTCACGCAGAGGAGCGGCTGCTGAAGAAACTCTTCTCTGGCTACAACAAGTGGTCCCGGCCCGTGGCCAACATCTCGGATGTGGTCCTTGTCCACTTTGGCCTGTCCATCGCCCAGCTCATTGACGTGGTAGGTGCAAGGGTGGGAGCTCTGGGCCTGGAGGTGGTGCGGGGCTGAGGAGCCTGCACGGCCCCTGCCTGAGTCCAGCAAGTGCACTTTTGTGGTGGGGTCTGGAGGAGAGGCAGGTGCTGTGCACACCTGCCCCAGGCCTGGTCCTTCTCTGTCCCACATGGGGACACACTGCCAGGTGGTCAGCAGTGGGCCAGGCTGCCAGCCTCAGAGGCCAAGGGCAGAAGATGTCTCTGTGGGGTGGGGCCGGTGCCAGGTCAAGTTGTGGGGCTTTTGTGTGAATTGTGCACCTGATGGGGCAATACCTGTCCTCAACCTGGTTCAGGAGCCCCCCATTACCTACAGGTCTGGAATGCGGGCTTTGTGGGAGTCTCGGATAGGTCTGAGGGGTGTTTATCTTCATGGTTAGGGGCCACAGGGGTTCCTAGATGATCCAGCCTTCGAATGACTGCTGCTCTGGGCTGAGGGTTCACCGTGCGGTGTGGTCTGACCGGGTGATGGGCACACCACCTGGGTTGGGCTCCTGAGGGCCTTGGAGTGTGGGTCTGTCCAGCCTGGCAAGGAGGGGCCTCTGGGAGCCTGGTTTGTCCAGCTATAGGGGGCTACAGATATTCCCAGATGCCCCTCCCTGCCCCTGCCAGGACCCTAGCATTGAGTCGGCTCAGGGAGGTGTGGGGGCCCTGGTGCCAGGCTGCCTACCTACCTTTTCCCTGTGAAATAGGGTGAGCACAGCACTGCCAACTTGGGCAATATCTGGGAGGCAGGAGAGGCCGTAGCCTGCTCTGCCCATCCCCCCTGGGGCAGAAAGGGCCAGCAGGGGCCCCGTCAGTGTGCCCTGTCCACAGCCATGTCAGGCTTCTGCCCCCCCACCCTTCTGCCCTCACCACCCTTCTGCCCCCCCCACCCTTCTGCCTCCCCCACCCTTCTGCCCCCCCACCCTTCTGCTTCCCCCACCCTTCTGCCTCCCCCACCCTTCTGCCCCCACCACCCTTCTGCCTCCCCCACCCTTCTGCCTCCCCCACCCTTCTGCCCCCACCCCCCTTCTGCATCCCCCACCCTTCTGCCTCCCCCACCCTTCTGCCCCCACCACCCTTCTGCCCCCCCCACCCTTCTGCCCCCACCACCCTTCTGCCTCCCCCACCCTTCTGCCCCCACCACCCTTCTGCCTTCCCCACCCTTCTGCCCCCACCACCCTTCTGCCCCCATCACCCTTCTGCCCCCACCACCCTTCTGCCCTCACCACCCTTCTGCCCCCACCACCCTTCTGCCTCCCCCACCCTTCTGCCCCCACCACCCTTCTGTCCCCACCACCCTTCTGCCTCCCCCACCCTTCTGCCTCCCCCACCCTTCTGCCTCCCCCACCCTTCTGCCCCCACCATCCTTCTGCCCTCACCACCCTTCTGCCCTCACCATCCTTCTGCCCCCCCACCCTTCTGCCTCCCCCACCCTTCTGCCCTCACCACCCTTCTGCCCTCACCACCCTTCTGCCCCCCCCACCCTTCTGCCCCCACTACCCTTCTGCCCCCACCACCCTTCTGCCCCCACCACCCTTCTGCCCCCACCACCCTTCTGCCTCCCCCACCCTTCTGCCCTCACCATCCTTCTGCCCTCACCACCCTTCTGCCCCCACCACCCTTCTGCCCTCACCATCCTTCTGCCCCCACCACCCTTCTGCCCTCACCACCCTTCTGCCCTCACCATCCTTCTGCCCTCACCATCCTTCTGCCCTCACCATCCAGGGCAGTTCAAAGTGGTGGCTGGTGGAGGTGGCCGCTGGCTGCCACTCAAGGTTTGGCTGCACCAAGGCCTGGCCTCCTGCCAGCTCCTTGGGGATCCCCTCTCCCCATTTGTCCAGGAGAGTCCAGGCCAGAGGGAGGGAGCACTGCTCCGAGACTCCAGGCCCGTGGCAGCTCCAGGCAGGGTAGGGCCAGCTCCAGGCTCCGCTGGGCTCTGGGGCTGACTGAGGACAGACCTTCAGAGGCCCGGGCCAGGTGGTGGGTGCAAGGGCCTCCTCGCCCATCCCCCTGGGGCTCATGCATTTGCTGTCAGTCTGTGTGGGCCGCAGTGCTCGCCTGTGTGAGCTCCCGCCTGCAGAGGAGCCCAAGGCACCGGTGCTTTCCAGGCCCTGGGCTGACGCTGCACGTGTGGGCTGGGCAGGCCGCTGGGAGGGAGGCAGGCTGTCCCCTGGAAGGGTCTGGAGCCTGGGGTCGGGGATGGGGCCTCCAGGGGCAGGCCGTCCACCCGGAGGGGAGGCAGGCGGGGCAGCCATCGCTTCCTGGCTCCTGAGGTCACATACTCCTCAGCACTCTTTTCTGGGGGGTGTCCCACTGGGTCAGCTGAGGGCCTGTCCCTGACGGGCCTGCAGGAGAGCTGGACCGAGGGCCATGCCTGGGGACATGACCTCTTCTCCCCAAACAGGGGCTGGGGGCTTGTCCCCTGGAGGAGCAAGGCCCGCCCTGACCAGAGTCTGGTAGCGAGGCGCCCGGTGCACACCCAGGTGGATTTGGAGGCAGCAGGAGGGGCGGGTGCCTGCTCACCTGGGGCCCATATGCAGAGGGGCTGCCCAGCTGTGACAGTGCAATGCAGGTCGCCTTTGGTGCCCCCTTCCCCACACACCCACCCACAGCTGGGGGAGGGCCAGCCCCAGCTGCCTATACAGTTGGCCAAACCTTGTCCTCACTTTGCTTCTGGAAAGGTTGGGGGCCCTTGCCGCCATATCCCTAAGTGCCTTCTGGGCCTCCCCTCCTGGGCGTGGCTACCTCCGCAGATGAGGTGCTCACTCTCCCCATGTTCAGCCCTGGCCTGGCCTGTGGGGAAGAAGATTCAGGGCCAGAGAGCCAGGGGCCCGTCACTGCAGGCGCCGTGACTTCTTTCCTTGTTTCTGTCCTAGGACGAGAAGAACCAGATGATGACGACGAATGTGTGGGTGAAGCAGGTGAGTGGGAGGGGCGCCGCGGCCACCGCCCCAGCCCTGCCCGTCCCTCTCAGCTGAGCATTCTCCTGCCGTGCAGGAGTGGCGGGACTATAAGCTGCGCTGGGACCCCAGGGACTACGAGAACGTGACTTCCATCCGCATCCCCTCCGAGCTCATCTGGCGGCCAGACATCGTGCTCTACAACAAGTGAGCCCGAGGGCGGGGCCTCCGTGGGCAGGGTGGCGGCTCCACCGAGGCTGGTGAGCCAGAGGCTAGGAGAGCGGGGGCTGGGTGCGGCCTGGGCGCCTGGGGCGGCCACCTCCTGGCTCCACCTTGGCCTCTCTCCCCAGGAGCCGGGAAAGGGGCTGGCACTGCGCCCTGACTGCAGCCCCGAGCTGCCCCCATGCAGCCTGGAGTCATTTTCAGAGCCTGTCCCCTGCCCCACGTGCTGCTCTTCGCTCCAGAAGCCTAGATGTGCAGCTCCTCTCAGGGCCTGCCCGGGTCAGCTCTCGGGCCTGGTCCCCCCTTCATCTCCGCAGCCCTCACCGCAGGCCCCAGGCCCGCTCCCCACACTCCCGCGCGAACAGCCCAGCGAAATCTGATGGGTGGACGGTGCTCTGTGCTGGAGCCAGGGTTTCCAGGCCCAGCTGTGGCCGGCCCTGGGCTCAGACTTGTCTCTCCGGGACCCTGACCAGGGCTCCTGCCATCCTCCCGTCCCTGCCTCTGCTGTCATCGCTGGATCCACGCCTGGGGCCAGGCTCTGGACATGCTCACAAAGAGAAGCACTTAGCCCCCTCCCCATCGCCCCTTCCCCTCCCTGCACACAGCCCCTGCCTCCCACAGCCCTGCACACAGCCCCTCCTGCCCCGGGAGCTGGGCCTGACCTACAAAGGGTTGCTCTTTGGTTAAGAACAACTTCGCTCCTCTCCCGACATAACTGATTGCAGTGATGGGGGAAGCGGCCGCATGCGAGGCGCCTGGGGCATGGTCTCAGGATGCATTAGTAGGGGGGTGGGGGAGCAGGCGGTCAAGCTCTCTGCTCTCCGCAAGCCACTGGTCTGAACCGCAACCCTGAGTCCTCCAGCCACCCAGCCACCGGGGGTCCATGCTCAACTCCCCAGACCTCCCCCTCCCCGTCCCCGGAGCTTTGATCCAGAGAATATGCATCAGCTCAGCATTCTGGGACCCAGGGGAGCGCCATGTTCCCGGGAGAGCTAGAAACCTCCCATGTGCTCTGGGACCTGTGCACGCCCCCCAGGCTGCAGCCCAGGAGAGTGGGAGCTGCCACCCCAACCCTCCACCTTCTCCTCCCTGCCAGGACCCGTGGGAGGTAGCGGGTGGACACCAGCTTCTCTGTGGGGCTGTGGTCAGTGCCCAGACTCTGGACACGGCGTGGAGGGAGGGTGAGGAGCTGGTGGCTGATGCTGGCCAGGCCACAGCCACTGAAGAGGCCTATTTCCAGGGGCAGTGGTGGCTGCTGGCCAGACATGTGCACCTGAGCACAGCTGCGTGTCCAGGCTGAGCTGATAGGTGAGGGGAAGGGCGAACAGGGCCCCACTTTTCTGATGGCTTTGGGGCGCCCCTGGTTGGAAGTCATGCGCGTGAGGCTGTGCTGTCCACCCGAGGCTTTTCTACGTGGTCCCTTTGGGGCAGAGGGTGTCACAGTCCTGGGGCACCTCAGGGCCCGGAGCAGGAACCTGGACCAGCCACAGCCCCACACAGCAAGCCCTGCCTAGAAGGGCTCCGGACTCACAGCCAACCCTGATGCCACACCCTGCGGGGGTGGGAGGGACCAGAAACTGCCGGCCATGTTCGCCTCTGCCAGGCACAGAGGAGCCAACGGGGAGGGGCCCAGCCTTGTCGTGGGGGTCACAGCCTTGCTCCTGCTGCCCCACGGGGTGGCGGGCCCCACGTGCAGAGTGGGGCCTTGCCAGGCTGGGCTCACCTGCTGCTGAGACCAGCATGAGGCGGGTGGCACGGTCAGTGAGGGTTTCGTGGAGCCGAGGAGAGATTTCCTGTGAGCATTTCAAAGCCGAAGGCGGCAGAGCTGTCCGAGGGGCTTGCGGAATGGCTGCTGCCTCCTCCTGTGTGGGGGCCACACCAGGTCAGAGTGGAGAGCCTGGGCCTAGTGGAGAAACTGAGGCTGAGAGAGTGGCATAGCCAGGTTACGCCTGCCGGGGCCTAAACTCACGACCAGGTGTGTGCATGGCGGGCGCCTTGGGGGCCAGGCGTCAGGGCCACCCGTTCCTGGGTCTCACCCCTCTCTCCCTGCCCAGCGCGGACGGGGACTTCGCCGTCACCCACCTGACTAAGGCCCACCTGTTCCACGACGGGCGGGTGCAGTGGACGCCGCCTGCCATCTACAAGAGCTCCTGCAGCATCGACGTCACCTCCTTCCCCTTCGACCAGCAGAACTGCACCATGAAGTTTGGGTCCTGGACCTACGACAAGGCCAAGGTCGACCTGGTGAGCATGCACAGCCACGTGGACCGGCTGGGCTTCTGGGAGAGCGGCGAGTGGGTCCTCGTGGACGCCGTGGGCACCTACAACACCAGGAAGTACGCGTGCTGCGCTGAGGTGTACCCCGACATCACCTACGCCTTCATCATCCGGCGCCTGCCGCTCTTCTACGCCGTCAACCTCCTCGTCCCCTGCCTGCTGCTCTCCTGCCTCACGGTGCTGGTCTTCTACCTGCCCTCCCAGTGCGGCGAGAAGGTCACGCTGTGCATCTCTGTGCTGCTGTCGCTCACCGTCTTCCTGCTGCTCATCACCGAGATAATCCCCTCCACCTCCCTGGTCATCCCGCTCATCGGCGAGTACCTGCTGTTCACCATGATCTTCGTCACGCTTTCCATCATCATCGCCGTCTTCGTGCTCAACGTGCACCACCGCTCCCCGCGCACCCACTCCATGCCTGCCTGGGTGCGCCGCGTCTTCCTGGACATCGTGCCGCGGCTGCTCCTCATGGAGCGGCCGCCCGTGACCAAGGGCAACTGCCGGCGGCTCATCGAATCCATGCACAGGATGGCCAGTGCCCCTCGCTTCTGGCCGGAGCCTGAGGAGGAGCCCAACTTCATGAGCAAAGTCCAGAGCCAGGGCCCCTCGCCCACCCCGTCCTGTGCTCCCCTGGATGCGCCAGGCAAGCCCCAGCCGGCCTGCACGTTGCCCTCAGACCAGGTGCCCACTCTGCAGCCAGCAGAGGCCGAGGAAGCCAGCCCCGGCCCGTCGCCCAGCCCCTGCCGCCCAACCACCAGCACCTGGGACCCGGGCCTTGCCAAAGCCCGGTCTCTGAGCACCCAGCACATGTCCAGCCCCAACAAAGCACTGGAGGGCGGCATCCGGTGCCGGTCTCAAAGCATCCGGTACTGCGTTCCTCAAGACGAGGCCGCCTCACAGGCCAGCGGCCCTGTGGCCAGCTCCCCTCCCTCCTTGCAGGCTCCCTGGACTGAGCTCCCACCTGCAGACCAGGCCTCTCCCTGCAAATGTAAGTGCAAGGAGCTGTCCACAGGGTCCTCAAACACAGCATTCCAAGCCCTCACCACCAAAGCACCGCCCCGCCGCCCGCCCCTGCCGCCCGCCCTGCCGCCAGCCCTGACGCGGGCTGCCGAGGGTGTCCAGCACATTGCAGCCCACCTGAAGGCGGAAGACACCGACTTCTCGGTAAGGCCCTGCCCCAGTGCACCGGGAGGTGCCCCTGGCCCTTGTGGGACGAGCAGACACTCTGAAGGAGGGAGTGATTGGTGACAAAATCAGGAAACAGCTCTGGGCATGCAGCCGCCAAGCCCCCACCCTGGCCTGCCCCCTCCTCCCTGAGCCCTCAGACTGGCCAGGGCCCTGGGGTGGCGCTGGGCAGGTGGCCCAGAGTAGCTTGTGGAGCAGACCTCAGGGACACCCCTCTGGGCCTCAGGACCGAGGAGCCGACAGGAGGGGCTGCTAGCCCCTCTGTGGCTGGTCAGCTGCCCCGTGTCAGTCCGCAGTGCGCTCCCTGCGCCGCTGGCTCTGGGGAATGACATGACTTCACTAGTCGCCTGAGCGACCGGCAGGCCTTGGTGGCTTTGGTCTGCGCTGGCCTTTCATCCTCAGGACGGGGCAACGCGGGCGAAAGGCAGGGAACAGCGTGCCTCCAGCACAGCAGGTCCTGGCGGGCTTGTTATTTATAAGTGACCCTGTTTGCGCTCAGGTTTCCTGTGAACAAACAGTTCCGTTTAGGTTTGGTTTAAAACTGCCAGGATTACTTTAAAAATCAGAGCAGAAAATGGCAATGAAGAACCCATTTTTCCTCGACACTCCAAGATGGGCACTGAGCCTGCCCTCGCCCCGGCCTGCCTGACCCACTGTGCCCTGACGCTGCTTCCTCCCAGTCCCTCAGGCGCCAGCAGGCCGCCCACCCGGGACCGCGGTAAGGCAAAGGCCAAAGGTGGGTGAGGAGCCAGGACCTCAGAGCAGCCGGGCGGGGCTGGGGTCTGCCCCCCTCCATAGCCACTCTGTGCCTCAGTGCCCCCATCTAGACAAGACAATCCCGCCTCCTTCCTCACCAGCCCCCGCGCAGGTGACGTGCTCGGCATTCTTGCGTGTTTGCGTCCATGGCCGCCCTGGCCTCAGCATTTGGGATTCCCCCTGAGCCCTGGCCCCTCCCTCCTCCTTCTGCTCACAGCACCTGGCTGTGCCCCACCCCCTCAGGCTTAAGGGACAGAGCTGAGAGACTCCATTGATCCCTGAGGGGCCTCCGGCCTCCTGGGCAGCTGACCCCTGAGCATCTGCCCAGGAGGAGAGGGCAGTCAGGCCTCAGCTGTCACTCAGACACTAGGCCCCTAGGGGCTCCTGTTAGAGGTCAGGCCTTGTCACCCAATGTGACTCCTGGCCCTTGTCCTGCGGCCAAGGGGTGCCAGTGGCCCTTTCTGAGCTCAATTGGTCCATTTGAAAAATGGGGGTGCACTGGATGGCCTCCATGGCACCCCCTCAGCTTTAGCAAACCTGGAGCAAATTCCATTGTGAAGCAGCCTGGACCCTGGTGTTCCTCCAAAGACCCGTTCCCCCCTCGCGCCCCCCCCCCCCCCCCGCCTCTGGGCTCAGGCACCCTGCCAGGCACAGCACCAGACCCGTCCCCCACGGCAGCCGGGATGTTCAGCTAGAGGGTGCTGCCCCCTCTGAACCCGACTTCAGCGGCCATGTGGCTTCTCTGCACCAGCCCCACTCGGCCCCCCAGCAGGTGTGCCTGCGGCCCTGGTGGCCTCGGTGGCGAGGGGGAACAACCCGTCACGCAAAGCGCCGGGCCCAGAGGTTCTTGCCGCCTGTGAGGTGCATGTCTGTGTTGCAGGTGAAGGAGGACTGGAAGTACGTGGCCATGGTCATTGACCGCCTCTTCCTCTGGGTGTTCGTCATCGCCTGCCTGCTGGGGACCGCCGGCCTCTTCCTGCCGCCCTGGCTGGCCGGCATGATCTAGGGGCCAAAGCACTGTACGGAGCAGAGAATGTACGGGGCCACGCCACCTGCCCGATTGTCCCCCACCTTCCGTCTGCTGCCTCCTGGGGAAGCCGGTGTGGCTCCGGCGGCTGGGACCTGCCCAGGAGGCAGCCCGCTGAGAAAGGCTTGTTCTCACTGCAGGTGGCATCGCCGCCTGAGCCACACTGAAGTGCACCCCGAGCACGGCTGCTCTCTCCTCACAGGTCCCAGCCATCCCCACGTCCTGGGGCCAAGCCCTCAGCCCCTCTCAGCCCCTGTCCCCTCCCTGTGGGATCCCGAGGCCCCTGCCTGTCCATCCCCGAGCGTGGGGACACCACCCCTACCCTTGGTCCTCGGGCCTGCTCTCTTTGACCCCACAGAGGCCAGTCACAACATGCGAGTCTCACTTGCCGGGTGGGCCTAAGCAGGGGTTTTATTTTATTTTATTTTTAAAATATATTTTTATTGATTTCAGAGAGGAAGGTAGAGGGAGAGACAGAAACATCAATGATGAGAGAGAATCATTAACTGGCTGCCTCCTGCATGCCCCCCACTGGGGATGGAGCCTGCAACCTGGGCATGTGCCCTTGACCGGAATCGAACCCCGGACCCTTTAGTCTGCAGGCCAACACTCTGTCCACCGAGCCAAACCAGCCAGGGCTTTTTGATTTGTTTTTGATGAATTCGTGAAAACCTAAGTTTTGTGCCCAGGGGTCCTTGGGGAGTGGAGCTGTTAAACCTGGTCCCGCTTGGAAGAGATTGGGGGGCAGGACCCCATGAGGGAGGGACGTTTGGGCTTGGGGAGTTCAGATGATTGCCTTCCAAGGGTCCTGGGGGCTCGGGGCAAGCTCTTTGCAGGTCATAGGTCCCCATGGGCACTGGGAGTTTGTGAGGACAGCTCGCCCAGGGCCTACTCCGGGGCCCTCGGAGTGTGGCGCTGGGGTGGGGCCCTGAGGAGGCCGAGGGGAACCTCCACAGGCCTCCTGCCCTTGGACTCATCTGTGGGAGGCCAGTTCAGCCAAAGGGCCTCTCTCACCCACAATGCAGGGGCCCTCTGGCCAGAGGTGTAGGGGAATCCCCCGGAGGGACGGTCCTGGGGCCTAGGATCACCCCCAGGGCAGAGTGCTGGGTGCCACCCCATGTCTCCCTGGCCCGGGCACCATGGCCCTGCGTGCTGTGATGATTTGGAATCCTCAGTCTCCAAGTGGAGGCGGCAAGGACACCGTGTCCCCTCCCAGGGAGTGACATTGGGTGGAGGCAGGAGGAGGAAGCTGTTCCTGCTGTCCATGGTCAAAGTCCCTTCCCCAGGGCAGCCATGGGCATGGCAGCCACGGTCAGGCAGCCACGGCCAGGGCAGCCACAGTCAGGCAGCCACAGCCAGGGCAGCCATGGGCGGGGCAGCCACAGGCAAGGTGTCCCGCCTGGCCAGTGCCTGGGTCACCAGGGACTTGGGAGAAGTGAGAGAACAATTCAGTGAAGTTTGGAGTCTAGTGGGCCTCATTGTGGCAGAGGTCAGACTCCCTGGTCGCAGCCAGGGAGGAGCTGGAGGGGCTGCACCCCTCACCCAGGCACTGAAACGGGACCTGACCTGGGCCCAGGGGTCCTCGTGCCCGAGAGGGTGCAGACCCCGGTGTTCTCTCCTCCCGGCCCCGGGGCCCCGGGGGGCCTGCTGCCCAGCTCTGCTCTGCACCTGCTTCCTGGAGGCGTCGGCATCAGTCCCAGGCACTGGGGCCACTCACCCAGGACAAGCGAGGCTGAGCGGGGACACCAGCCCCGGGGCATCAGGGAGGGGATTTCAGATGTAAGCACCTCAGTCCTTACATAAGCAGATTCAGCCACCAGGTGCGCAGGCATCTGCCAGGAGCAGCCCTGGCGCCGGGCCCACTGAGATGTTTTTCTGGGTCACCAGGGAGACCTCGCACGAAGCTTCCGGAACTGGAAAAAAGGGTCAGGAAATGCACAGAAATAACCAAGTGGTCATATTCCCACCACAGCGAAGTAACCCAGCCTCCGTCTGCCTCCAGTGTGGTTTCTTTAATGTAAATTTAATAGGGAAAAACGCATGATCTAAGCCCTCGAGTGAGTGAGTTTTACTAAAATTTGACACCAAGGACCCAGGGCACCATTCCACACAAGACGCCACCCTCCCCCTGCCCCTCAGGCCATCCCCTCCTGGCCCCGGCCTGGGCTTCTCCGTCAGCCGGCTCCTGCTCCTGAACTTGTGGTCGGGCCCTCCGTTGCTGCCTCCCTCCTAGTGTGTTGAGACTCACTGGTCCTGTCTCGTCCTCGGACAGTCCTGTTTCAACTGTGAACAGAGCTCTTCGCCTGAATCAACAGAGCTCGCTGTCTCTCGTCCCCCTTGAAGAACGTCTCCGGGTTTCGCCGTCACGACTCACGCGCTGTGACACGCTGTGGGGTCTTCGTGGATGTCCTCATGCCTCATGTCCTCATGTCCAGGGCCCTGCCCCCACCCCTCATCTCACTCACACTCCGGGCCAGTGTTTCCCCTCCTAGATCTCTGGGGCCCAGACAAGGAGGGACTGCCCAGGGCCCGGAGGCCCGCGGGGATGTCCTAGCTCGTCACTCCTGAGCTTTGTGCAAGCCCTGCCTGGCCCTCACTCGCCCCTTCTGTCTCCTGACCAAGGTCCGTGCTCCCCACACAGTGTGATATACCCCTTCTCTCCGGAAATTAAGTAATGGACTCTCTTCTCAACGGCATTGGCCCCTTCAGGGCATCCCCCGTCACCTTTGTAAGTCATGGTGGCCCTGGCCCGTGTTGCTCAGTTGTTAGAGCGTTGGCCCGCGCACCCAGATTAGCAGGTTTGATTCTGGTCAAGGGCGTGTACCTCGGTTGCAGGTTCAATCCTTGGCCCGTCAGGTGCATGTGGGAGGCAACCAGTTGATGTGTTTCCTCACGTCCATGTTTATCTTTCTCCCCCTCCCTCCCTCCTTCCACTCTCTCTAAAATCAATGGAAGAAAAGGAAGTCATGATGGGGCCGAGCACTCCCAGGTACACACCTGTGTGGGGTCACTAGGTCACGGGGTGCCGAGCCTTCCCAAGTGGACACCCGCTCCCCCCAGAAGCTCTGCAGTTGGTGTCGGCTGGACGTTTGCTCATTATTGGGTCGCGTGGCTTTTAGAGGGTGTGCGTCACCTGTGTGCTCGGGGCCAAGGCTTCTGTCCGTCCTCCCGTGGGAGACTTCCTTCCCTGTGTGTGATGATACTTTTCACCAACCGCATCTTTCCAAGAAAAGCTTTTCGTGCTGATGAGGGGCCATGTCTGAGTTTTTTTTTCTATGGTTGTTGCTTTCTGGATCCTGTATAAGAGATCCTTGCCGCCCTGGGCTTAGGAATGCGCCCTTCCCCTGCCTTCTGTCATCTAGCATGCTTACAGCTTTCTCATCTTTAGGGTTACCATGTTTTTCTTCTTTTGTTAATCCTCACCCCGTTGATTTTTTTTTTTTTTAGAGAGAAAGTGGAAAGGACGGGGGGAGAAGAGAGAGCAATGATGTGAGAGAGACACATCCATTGGTTGCTTTCCACATGCACCCCAACTGGGGCCAGGGATCAAACCTGCCCTTGGCCGGGAATCAAACCTGAGACCCTTTGGTTTGCAGGCTGATGCTCTAACCACTGAGCACGCTGGCCAGGGCTACCATGTTTTTCTAGTTAACTTTTGTGCCTGGTGTAGACAAGGGCAGAGCATCAATGTTTCTGATTTGAACCTCTAGCAGTTTCGAACCATTTGTTGAAAACACGGTCCTTCCCCAGTAAGATGCCTGGCAATGTGGCCCCTGATCTCCTGCTTCCTGGTTCCTTGCGTGTTGGTTCCTCTGGCCGCGGGAGCAGGAAGTGTGTCCTGTCTCTGACGCAGGGAGAGCTCACCTCCCGGGTCAGATGTGCCCTGAGCTCTGCGCGCGGAGCAGCTCGCCCCTGCCTGGCCCACAGCCCCGCACAGAGCGCGCTTCCCCCCAGGCTGCTCGGACCCCGGCCGGAGCCCGTGCTTCTCCAGAGCTGCAGGAGTTGACAGAGACCCTCACAGGCCCCCAACAGAACTAGCGCCTTTGCTCAGGGTCCCGCGGCCCGGGAACCATCTAGAATTCTAGGCTGCTGCAGGTGGCGGTCTGCGGAGGGCGAGGCTCTTAGGCTCTTCGAGCAGCCCTGCACTTCCTGTGTGTCGGGTCACGTGTGACTCTGTTCGTCCGTCCGTCCTTCCTGCGGAATGCACCTCGCTTCCCACAGGGTCTGCCTCCTGCCGCTCCTCAGACTCGGGGCCTGTTCACCCCGTGAGGATTTTATGGGGTAAAATCTGTGCGCTTTTCCTTCAACACGCGGAGGGCATTGCCTCCCGCCTCTGGCCCTCATTCTGTGGGCGTTCAGAGACCGCTGCCTCTGTCGTATGCTTCGTGTGACTGAATCTACATTTAAAAAATCAGCCACTCTGGCACTCTGAGCCTTTTGATCTGAGACCATAACTTCCTCTAATTCTCAAATCTTAAAAAAACCACTTTTCAGCGCTCGCTGGCCTCCCTAACCAGGGAGCCGCGGCCTGGGTCGTGCTCCGTCCTCTGCGCCTCCGGGCGGCCCTGCCTGACTTTCAGCTGCGTTCGCTGGGCCCTGGTTGCCCCGCCCACCCTGCTGGTGTTCTCCCGGTGTGTTTTCTGCACACATTTCCCGTTGCCTTTTCCTGACATTTTCATGCCATTAATGTCCACCCTCCCTCCGTGAAGACGCCGCAGTGTTCAGTTAGGGACTGTGGGGACCTGCCTCCTCTCCTGCTCAGCTCCCAGGTGTCACACCTTCCCCTAAAGTCCTCTCCCCGACCTTACCAGGAGCACTGCGCACGATGAGGCGTGTGAGGCGTGTGCACACATGTGTGTGTTAGCAGCGGCGGGTGTGTATGGGAAAGTGTGTGGGTGTGCAGGTTTGTGCTGTGTTGGCTTCACGTGGACCCCTGAGCAGCAGCCCACAGCTCAGGTCGAGGGTCGAGAGGCAGGCAGGCTCATGTCTTTCTCAGCCCAGGCCGCACTCCATTTGGCCAGCAGGTGGGGACCCGTGCCCGGGCGGCGGCAGAGGTCCCACGCCCACTGCAGCCTCGTTCCCAGGATGGTAGCTCATCCCCATCCCGTGGTGATCAAGCGGCATCTCCAGCCCTGGCCGGTGTCCCCAGGGGTTAGAGCATCAGTCCCAGCACCAGAGGGTCTCGGGTTCAATTCTCGGTCAAGGGCATGTACCTGGGTTGCAGGTTTGACCCCCAACCCCAGTCTGGGGCGTGAGAGAGGGAAGCAATCGATGTCTCTCTCTCTCTCTCTCCCCCCTCCTTCCTTCCCTTCTACTCCCTCTGAAAAGCAATGCAAAAATATCCTCAGGTGATTAAATAAAAAGAGGTGTCTTCCTCACTTGCTGGCTCCTTGACCGAACACCCCACTGGCCCAGGGTCTTCTGGCTTTGCTCTCTCTGGAGCGTCCCAACAGGTGGTCTCTGCACCCACACCCTCCGGCCTCGGAGATGAGCCTGGGACTCAGTCCTGGGACGAGCCAGGGCCTTCATCC